CCAATTTGCACTATTACAGTGACGCCTTCAATCAAGACGAACCTACAAGCTGATCCAGTCAACGAGGGAGGAAACTTGACTTTATTTTGCAACGCTTCTGGAAGCTCATTGGCGATATCATGGACAAAAAATGGATCTGGTATAAATTCCAGTGAGGACACGAGGATTCGTCTGCCAGGAGACAAAGAGCAGCTGACCATAACGAATGTGAGTAGAACAGACAATGGAGCCTACCAGTGTGCGGCGAGCAACAATGTTGGAAATGTTACCTCCAATGCCGTCATAGTGACTGTTCGATGTGAGTACGATTATCGTTGACAAGTGTCGTAAATTACTAAAAATGTATGACTTTCATGAGCAATAATGAAATGAAAATCGAGTTTATTTAACGCTCTTTGGTGATTAACATTTTTGGAAGTTCAGTTTTATTGTCCTTCTCCTGTGACACAACATGGTTCTTTCGAATCGAAAAAAGGAGCTGATCGTTATGAATATTTCTGACCCACAATTTGTACGATGCTCATTTTTCCAGCGGTTATGCTGCTGTGCAGGCAATTTAGGGTTATGGATGCGAGTTTGAATTTTTAGAAACGATTTTTATTCAGTCAATATATGTGCAACTGCCATCTTGAGCTGAAAAATGGCGACGATGGTTATTCTACTGGAACAAAGCAATCCCTAGCGACAAGTTAATCTGAAAACTGTTTATTGCTTTAAGTGTTTTGAAATGATTCAATTACCACTGTTGATGATCGCAAACGTGTTTACTTAAGCTGTTTTGATGAGATGTTTTGAGTGTTGAAGGAGAAGGTTGATTATGTCCTGGTCACTTATCTTTTACTCAAATCATAGCTGCATGGTTATGGAGGGTAAATGACAAGTGGTGACATACGTTTGAAATTGCAGTGACTTCAAATTATCATTTTTCATTTCTTTAATTTTTTTTTTTACCAGTTGGGCCTGAAATATCCCAAGCTCCAAGTGATACCACGAAAGTGGTAGGAGAGACCGCTGTGTTCAGTTGTTTGGTAGCAGGCCACCCTACGCCTGATGTTGCTTGGACAAAGAATGACATTGAATTGAATATAACAGCAAATTCACGATTAAGTGGCTTTGATAAGGATAAAAATCACAGTTTGACAGTAACAAATGTTGAACAGTTGGATGCTGGAAAGTACCGATGTGTCGGCAGTAACATTTTGGGTAACTCCACTTCATCTCCAGCGACTCTTACTGTGCAATGTGAGTGTAAATTTAGTTTTTCTTCAAAACATCCGAGTAATAAAGGTTTCATTGTGATTTTTCGTTGTTGACCACCAACAAAAATGCAGATATAGGTTCTTGCAAAGCCTGTCAACCTTTGGTGGTACTTTGCCGAGGATTTTGAATTAATTGAATCGTCAAATTGACCATTTGGCTCCTTTTCCTTAGTTTGAAGTTCTTGATATAAGGGACTTAGGCAAATTGCGGTTATTCTGTATTGAATCTAACTTTAACTAAGAAAAGTTGTTTTATAACGCTTCATAAATTGCAGTTTCGCCGGAGGTGGCAATTGATGGAGATCAGGTTCAGTTTGTCGCAAATGGCACACATTTACAGCTGACATGCCGCTTTACCGCTTTGCCTCCCGCGTCTGAGGTGCAGTGGATAAAAGACGAGACTGTGATTGCATCAACCCTCACTGCGCCCCCGAATGGGTCACGAGTGAATATTTCACATCATAATGAAAGCCAAGCTCAGCTGTCAATCAAGGCAGTTTCCTTAANGTTGTTGTCTGTGAAGGCTTCAGTGTAATCTGGCGGTCCCAGGCTCAAATCCTCCACCCTGCTACTCGACTGGATTTGTTCTGGGTTATCCGGAGTTCAACGCCTTGACTGCGCTTTGTGTCCAGCCAAGTGGTCTGCCTCCCCTTCAAGCTTCGGTTTTTATGCACTGCGTTTATTCATAGTGTTTCAATCTGCTCGTATTGGCCTCGGAAAGACCACCAAGGGTAGTGACACTTAAGAATGCATGAACGTTAATGGGACTCTATTACTAAAATAAAAACTGAGGTATATGAGACAAATGAATGGGAAAAGGGCTGTAGTAATGGATTACGATAAGTTGGAGGTAATAGCCTGGGAAATAACTTTTCAAATATTAAAGTGGATGCTAAATATAGAGCAAACCATTTTTACCACGTATTTTTATCCATGAGAACCAGAGAACTAAACACTGAGAAAACTTGTTATATCATTGGCGACGCCACTTACGGACAAAAAGCATAATCTTTACTTGCACTATTCGAATTGCCACAAAAATACAATTGATGCAAACCTTGAATATGGAAATGATTCAATCATACGCCGAAATTAGAATGTATTCGTATAGTATTCATTGGAAGATAACTGGCTTGCTATTTCTATTTATTTTACATAAGTTTTTCTCTGTTTTAAATAATCTCACTTGGTTCGTCTTCGAGTATTTTTGCGAGTCCTTCGTGAAAATATAGATTATAGTGCCGGCATAGGAGATTTTAGATTATTTTGATAAAGGTCGCTCATTATCGCTAATGGAATAAACTGTAAATCATGTTCTCGTATTTATGTTAAAAGATTAAAGAATTAGCTCAGAGAGAAAAAAAACAAAGGAAAAAGCCTTGTAGTCTTTCGCACTAGTAAAAACTCTTGTTTTGATGAATACAAAAAATGACAAGGACTTTGAGCTATTTAAAGTCATAGGCCTGTAGCTTTCGAAATTTACCGTCGTGAGGTAATTAGTGCGTGACAGTTTTATTTTCTAATTCCCAGATGCATCTGCAATCTTGGAAAATCCAAAGAATGCCATCATAGTTGAAGGAGAAGAAGCTGTTCTTAGTTGCGTGGTGGATGGAAATCCTTCACCAAAAGTTACTTGGACGAAGAATGAGGAAAAACTAAATATAACAGATGTGCGACTAACAGCGTCATCACAGAACAACAATCACAGTTTAACAATCACAAATGTTTACCGGTCGGATTCGGGACAATACAGATGTGTGGCTCTTAATAATGTTGGAAACTTGACTTCAACTCTAGGGACTTTAACAGTTCAATGTAAGTAGCTTATAAAATTTCCTTATTTTAAAAACTTTACAATCGGCTTGGATCAGTTTTTTCTTTAAACGTAATTGTGTTTGTATTTCAACCTCTCAGCATAAAGGAATCACAAAAATGTCGCTATTTTTGACGTCACGTTCTTGAACTCTCTTTATGTTGATATTGCTTTTGTAACCTTAGTAATGATTAACAGAGCTTAGCTATTTTTTCAGGGCTGATTCTTTCTTCTTCCTCCTGAAAGAATAAAATCCCCTGAACATTGCGACTTGCGGAAGTCTAAAGCGGTCTCTTTAGATGGAGGAAATACAATGTTGGGCTTGTATGGAAATCAGTATAGGAGACAGACAAGCTTATTATGACTTATTTTGAGGTCGTGACCTCATCGACCGCAGCATAAATTACCAATGGCTCCGCTCAGGGGGGTAGGGTACGAACGAATATTCTAAACAGCGGCTTCGATCAAACTATGCTTGTTAACTATGGACGACTTTCTTGCCGGAATTTTTACGTCCAGAGAACGTTTCTGCCATTGGTTCTTCGTCATTGTGCTGTCAGTGTCATATTCATCAGCCCAAGGAGGTAAAAGTAATTTTTCATCATTCGAAGTTAGAAGTTTTCATAAGATTTTGAAGCGGAAATCAACGACGTTTACTTCACCCATTCTTTATACGAGATGTTTGCTCCGGCCACGAATTGAATTTTCACGTTAAACACTAAGTGTAATGAGACTGAATTCTCTCGAGTGCGAGTGAAGAAGCTTAATAAGGTGAATTTGTTGAAATGCAATGTTTTCAGTCGATTTTCTCAAGCGCAATATTTGAATATTGTAACTTCGAATGTTTCGTTTTGTCCTGTGTAATTATGGCTTCAATGTAAATCCGCTACTGCAAGGTTTAATCGAGTTCATTGCTTTTAATTTCTCACCAAAAGTAAACTTTGTTTGTAGTACCGAGAAAATGTTTTGAAAGTTACGCAAACTTTAATGAATACACAAGCTTAACTTACGTACAGGTGCCAGTGAAAGTATTCTGAATATTTTTGAACTATTTAATATGCGAGCTTCCTCTTGATGTGGTTCTTACATGTTTTCCGCGGAGAATTAACCTCGATGGGACGTGACTGGTGTTTGTATTTTTAGAAATTATCAGTTGCCATCGAGCGTTAGTGTTTTGAAACAATGATATTTAGCGGCTGGGTTATTTTTGTTTATAAACGACCTTGGAACACGCAATGCACATCAGAACTGTACGTGTCTTGTTCACAGTTGCACTGTCAAGCTCAGCAAGTCATTATCTCTACTTTTGCTTCCTCTCTTCCTTAGGAGTTAGATTTTATAGCTACACTCCATACCCTTTAACTGAAAACTACAAAAGAATGATCAGTCAGTTGACTGACAGGCCAAGTGGCTGACAGTGTCTGTTAATTGAAAATATGAAACCTCAGTTGGTTAGGAATAATGGCTATCAAAATATTGTTGGTAAAAAAATCAGAAGTTGTCAGTTTGGTGACATCTTTGCAATATTTTTGTAGCTTCAAATACCAAGGTAGAAATTTAGTTTGAGCAATCAGTTCATAATCAAGTCGTTTTGGAACAGACAACTTTTAAAGATTGCCATTAGTTAGGGACTGTTTATACACTGAAGTAGGTATAGAGAGTTACTTGTCTATCGTTAGTGTCTATGATGTTGCAATGAAATTCTCATTTTAGAGAAATGAAGTTATCTTTGGAATGTAGAAGTGTCTGTTAAGAGAGATTTGTAAGGATAATCCTTTATTTACCCAATTGATCTGTAATTTACATTATGTGCCTTTGCACATTACACATACACTGTATGCATTGGCAAGTTAGAAGATTTTCGTTGAGATCATGGATACAGCTGTAGTGGTGCTGCTAGGCTAGGGTTTTTAGCCATGACTCATTTGTAATAAGCACTGTCTATTTGACTGTCCAACCCAGCAGTAATGTATTTGTCTTGGTCCAAAATAATTTCTAACATCTGGCAGCCAGCAATTTTTCTTTTTCCGTCTGCTTGCTCAAAATCTGGGATGAACGCTGCCAACACTGCTGTAAAAGTAGACTAGAACCATTGCAGTCATATGAATAACACTGGTTAATGTAGAAAAAAATACATGTCTTTGTTTGTTGTGAAGCTTAAGTAAACATCCATACCCATTTTGCATTACATTAAACTGCAAGTTCACTACATTATTAATTAACATCACAGAGAGACAGAAATCTTATATGGCAAAACATGTAATACAGGTTGATAGAATGGGTGAAGACTGGAAATAAAAACTTTCTGTGAGGGTCAGGGCTCAAACTAGTTAAGTGCTGACTTTTGCAAGAGAGTTACTGTATGAATGTATGCTAAATGAGACTAAACCATTGCTCTGGATGAAGCTGGAATTAATTGAATTCTGTATTTATAAGTAATTTCACTGTCTTGTGGAATGCTACAATTTTGTAAATATCAGTTATGCTTTATCATTATTACTCATTCATCTAATTTCCTTTTTCCAGTTGCACCTGAATTTAGCAGCAGCCCGCAGAATGTGATAGTAATAGAAGAGAATAAAGTCACAGTAACTCTGAACTGCACAGTTTTTGGAAACCCCACACCAGATGTGAAATGGACAAAAGATGAAATTGAACTATCAAAAAATGAAAGGATTAATGTTTCTGAGATTGTAGGAAATATTTCAAGTTTGACAATTACCAATACTGTGCGAGAAGATGAAGGCCAATATAGATGTGTGGCAAATAACAGTGTAAATACCAGCACCTCATCTCCAGGAAAACTGACAGTTAACTGTAAGTATCATTTTTCAGACTGCAGAATATGAGATGTATAGTGTGAAAGTACTCTCTCTTAAGTATTGGTAGGGTGTCAAAACCTGTGCTGGTAAACTAAAAGTTAGCACACTTGGCACCAGACCCTTGCACAAGTATGCAAAGGTCTCCAAGGCAGAGAAGACATCTAAAGAAACTTGTATTGCCTACTTGATACTGTTCCCAGTGCCTGGCATGCTTCCAACAAATACATGTAGGTAGTGAGAATACTAATACTTACCAGGCAGAAGTTGTTATTTTGATCTAAAACCAAATTCTCGCAATTACACATAATTTACAAGGAACTGTGTAGCAGCCAGAGGGAGAATTAAGAAATAGATATGGGAGTGAAAGGGTCAATGCAGGTTTTACATGACTTGTACATCTACTCACTATAGTTTTTCCTTTCTGTCATCTACTTGGACTTTTGGTTTGGGTGTGAATAACAGTTGTTGCAGAGTATCCATCTGAGAATCTGAGAACAACTCTCAAAGCTAAAATTCCACTTTGAAATGTTTAAAACTTTCTGTAACAACTTCCTATCTCATGAGCCAATCTGATGCAAGTATAATGCCAGACTCATCACAAATTACTTCTCTATTTGCTTTGCTTTTCTTGTCTTAGGGCCTTTCCGCACAAGCGAAAAAGTTGTTTATTTTAATTAGAAAAATTTTCTCTCGTCACCAACATTTTGTTAGTACAAATGGTTTGTTGAGACTCTAACGATTTTGGCAAAAGTAGACAAATGTTCAAAGCTGCTATGGACAAAATTCTTCCCAGGTAAAAATGAGGCAAAATCGAGTAACCATAAACAAAACTGTGATAAGGCTACAACCATTGTGTAATTGAACTGAAATCACTTCACTTTAAAGGCATTTTTAAAAAAAAATTAAAACTTCTGAAGGATAAATCCTGGAAACTAGAGTTGGAATCCTTTGGTAAACTATGCTAGCAGGTCTTTGGAGGAGGTCAGGCACTGACAGAATTTGATAGCTTTGAAATTTTTAATGTGCATGCAACAGAGGAAACAAAAATTAATTGTCTTGACAAAATTTGTCCTTTGATTTTATTGGGACAATTTTAGTTTTGTCCACTAATGCAGAAAGGCTCTTATGTGATATGCATATTTAATATTAAACAGAAGGGTGATAATTAGCCCATTAGATGGTTTGATTTGGTGTTTTGCCTTGTGGGCTCATCAACATCAAGTATGGTTACCAACAAAAAGTAAAAGTATATTGTGATACTATGTGCCAAAACATCTAATAACATCAAATGCTGTTCTCAGGTGTGGTAATTAACTTGAACAATATTATGATTCCAGTTAGAGCAGATGTCTTGATTAGTGGCAGTGAACCAAAGTTTGTTGAAATAAGCAAACAGATCCAGCTGACTTGCCAGTATAATGCTTCACCGCCAGTGTTGGAGGTACAGTGGGTAAAAGATGGAAATGCCATTGCTAGAAATGAAAGTGGCATTGGATCAGTGACTATTACACAGTTCACTGAAAGTCAATCCCAACTGATAATCTCATCAAGTACAAAGCAGGATGAGGGAACTTACACCTGCTTTGTCACAAATGCTGTTGGTAACTCCTCAAATGCTACATCAGTTCTTATACAAGGTATGGTGCACTATGATATCAGGTTGAAGTTGTTATCAAGATCTAACACCCAATTCTCATAAACAATTTATGAGGAACAGTGTAGCAGCTAGAGGGGAGAATTAAAAATCAGATCTTGGGAGTTTAATGGTTAAAGTTATTATTTTGGCAACCTATTGTCTCATAAGATGGTTTGCCCTCAAAAGTTGTTGGTTCAAATGGACCAAATATAAAACAAACAAACAAAAAGAAAATCAGAAACAGCAAATACATAAGATCTCCCCATCCAGGGTTACAATTGTGTATCCATGAACTGCGCTTATGGCTTGAGGAAAAAATTATTATCCAAAGTAGTGTGAGCTTATTATTCAGATTTCATTTAAGCCAAATGTATAACATTTGAAAACTGCTCAGCACTCTGGTGTACCTTCTTTGGTGTACCTTAATTGGTGTACCTTATTTGGTGTACCTTATTTGGTATACCTTATTTGGTGTACTATATTTGGTAAAGATGGATTAACTGTGAATCAAAATTGAACATTTTTGTGTTTATTGAGATGTTGTTAATTCCACAGTGGTACCAGACCCACCACAGAACATCACTGTTGATTCAAAGGGTTCACGAGTTGTAAATATCTCCTGGACTCCTGGTTCTTCTGGAAACAGTGACATTAAGAACTACACAGTAGAGATCAGTGAAAATAATCAGAACTTCAATGATGTTGTTTGTCAAGGGTCACTCTCAAATGGTACCTGTGTGGTGTCCAGTCCCTCCACAACTGCCTCTCTCACAGGTCTTTTTCCTTGGACAACGTACAATATTAGAGTGTTTGCAACAAATAAAATTGGCGGAAGTAACAGCAGCCCCATTCTGGATGTTACCACGGATGAAGAAGGTATGCTCAGACAATGTCTTCCATGTATGAAAAGAGCCACAAGGGGATTGGGACATATACTTTTTAGGAAATTGAACAAGTTATATTTTGTGCAGTGTTCTCCCTTGTATTTGTTTCTTTTATTAGTGATATGAACTGATTCTCTCCTGAATTAAGTTATATGATTTCAAGAGAGAAAACCAAAAGTTAGAGATTTATCTCCAGACTGTATGGATGGACCACAAATTGAACAAGAGTCTGAGTGGGTCTGAGTGGGGGTATTAACTGTGAAAATGTTATCAGATGTAAATATTTTTTTAGTTGTTTTAGGAGGAAATAAATTAGAAAGCTGGGATTAAACCTCTTTTGTCTCCTTTTCACTTCTTAACTGAATTGTGAATAAACAGTTATTATTATTATGCAGTATACATGTTTGGATGCTAGTGAGCTAAGCAAGATAGGGCGAAAATTCGTAGCCTATCTGCATGACAGGACTGTAATTAACTATAATAATATCTAATACTACTTAAATCTAAATGATCAATATAAAACGATAAAAGTGTCAATTGGCACAATACTAAGATGTTTGTTCTTTTTTTTTTTAAAGTTCATGATGTACTGTTCAGCTCTTAAAATATCCTTAACTTAAAATGTTCATAAAATACTGCTCATAAAAACCAAATCATAATGTCCTTAAAATTCTTACTATGTAACCAGTTTAAATGTTCTTGCAATGTTCAGAGTGCTACTTAATACAGCTTTCTGCATTCTCAGCATGCAATTTTTCTTTGTATCTTGTACCAAAGAAGCCCTTTATTATTATTATTATTGTTATTCTTCTTATTGTTATTATTGTTATTATTATTATTATTATTATTATTATTATTATTATTATTATTATTATTATCAATCAGTTGTAAAATGTTATGTTTGCCATAAGATCATACACAGATTGAGGCGATAAAGGTGGCCCAGGCTGTGCGTAGGAATAGAATCTTCCTAAACTTTGAAAACGTAAATAAACAAATAAACAAAAATTAAATAATAAAATACATATATATATATATATCTACTAATCTGATAAATACAAGAAACGTAGGTACGAAAAATCTCTAAAAGTTATATAAGTGAGCTCCTTAGCTATCTAGTGATAATTTTAAAAGTTCTTGAAATGTTCAAGGTGTTCGAAAGGACAGCTTTCTGCATTTTTCTTGGATCCCCTCTCCCCGGCCTCCGAATAGCTCTATCGTAGACACGTCCACATCTCTCGACCATCCGCCCAGGACATCAATGATGATATTATGTTGTTTGATGGTGTATCCTGGATACTACCGAGCCATCTCCCACCTCAAAGGACCATACGTTGCAGTCTTCTCCTCGGTCTTCGTCAGCCGGTTGTCCAACCACGGGCATTATTATTATTATTATTAATCATTATTATTATTATTAATTATTATCATTATCATTATCATTATCATTATCATTATCATTATCATTATCATTATCGTTATCGTTATCATTATTATTATTATTATTATTATTATTATTTTGCAAGCAAGCATTAGATACAGTAAGATAAGTGTACTTCTCTGAGGAAATCAAGGAAACACAATTTTGCAACAATCCTTATTTGTTACATGTATATATAATGACATACTGGTATTAAAGAAGATGTATTTCTTTGATTCACCTTTACAGTGCCAAGTGAGGCTCCGTCTTTTGTTGTGACTGTTGTCAATTCGACTGCAGTGAATGTTTCCTGGCAGGTAGTTACCAGACGTTACAGATACCTTCGAATATTTTTTTTTTTTTTTTTATATTGAAAAGTCGTATTTATCTCCACTTTTAATGGAGAAAGGAAGAGTTTCACAGAGCTGTTCAGCATTAAAGATGATAATTATGCACAATTAGACATGTTCTCTGTGGTTGGATCGTTAACGTGCGTGCAAATTCCAACTACAATCTGCCCTGTACACGCGTGTAAAGCAATCAGTAAACGGATCACCTTAAATGACTTCACATTGACAGAAGTGCGTATGATAAGACAAAAACTGTTAATTTTGAATTCTTCGTCACTTTTCTGATAACCATGCGCGTAACATTTACTATTCTCTTTGCAGTTATAAGTTGACATTTTTTAGACTTGGCCAAAAAGCATGTGTGCAATTTGTAAGACTCTGCTTTTAGTTATCTTGCCGGGACGGTCGCTTTCTTGTAGATGTCGGTAATATCAGCAACGATGTTATTTTCAACTCCCTCTGTTAGATTCCGTGTTGTTGTGTATCATTCTACGTATACAGATCACAGTTGATGCGATGTAGCCAGCAAGAACATCGTTGATACCCTTGCCTATGACTCGTGTATCGCGTTATTAGTTTGAAGCTGTAATTACATTTTGATGTCCTATGAGATTCACTGTAGACTAAGCGTAAGAAAACACGTAATGTGTTTGTTGATATAACTTTGAATTAGACAAAAAGAGAAAAATAATAATTAAAGAAAAACCTTTAGGTACACTGTACATGCAATCGTCACGAGAGTGTATTACAACACTTGGACGCCTTGTATATATAGTACGTGCAAAGTATTATCGTCATAAAATTAATCAATTTTTTGTCAACTTTAAAACCCAGATGCTGAGTAAGGACAAAGCTAGAGGTGAAATATTGGGCTACTACGTTTTGTACCGAGTTAACAGCACTCCTCCCTGGATTAATAAAACGGTCGATGGAGCCGAAATGACATCGCTTTTAGTGGGATCATTAAATGAACACACTACATACGAATTTGCTATGCAGGCGTTTAACAGTAAAGGTGCTAGTGATTTAAGTGCTTTGTTGGAGAAGACTACCGATCAACATAGTGAGTGTAACTTTATTATCATTTGATTTGTTATTATCATTATTGAGGTTTGTTCAATCTTTTATTTTCTGCACGATTGAACGCGAGTTATTGTTCATGGCTCCTAGCAGCTCTTGTTTTTTCCAGTAATATTTTTCTTTCATTATCGAACGTATAATGATTCAACGGAGAGATTTTTTTGCCATGACAATTACATTTGCTGTACACCATTTTAATAACCATGATAATACAGATGTATATGCTGTTTGAAAAGATTAGCAATTTTTCTCCCTTAGTTTGCTGCCCGTGAAAAGTAGGCGACCTTATGATATTTTTTTCCGCTTTTAGAACCTAGTGGGCCACCACAACAAGTCACAATAAGCGAGGTAACATCTACAACAGTCAAAGTAGACTGGAATCCTGTCCTTGCTGATGATCGAAATGGAATTATCCAAGGATATAGAGTGAATTATCAAGCCTTACCAGATGGTGAAACTCTTACTGAGTCTCTTAATATTAACAGTGGAGAACAGGGTGAAGGAAAAACAATAGTTTTAATGACTCTGAGTGAGTTTACAAACTACAGCATTAGTGTGTTAGCATTCACTGAAGTCGGAAATGGGCCAAAAAGTGGTGCCCAGGTTGTGGAGACACTAGAAGACAGTAAGTGTAACTTTGCTCATGCGTTATTTATGGTAAGAATATATGAAAAGACAAGTAACCCAAAACGAAAACAACGGTGTAAACTAGATTGAAAGCATTTTGTGTTCCATGTTTCCCAGGTTGTGCAAGCACTGGATGGCAGTAAGATACACGAATTTTTCCTCTAACATGTTGCTCCATTTACGATGTAGTTTGAAATGATAAACTCTTGGAAGACACAGTGTAGCTACCTGTGACTCCCAAATGATACTCCGATGGAATCTTGTGCATGTTCAAGTGACTATCACAAGACTTTTTGGACAATTTGGTACTAAAATTTTGGATTCGAATGAAAACTAAAGAAAAAATTTCGAAAGAAAGTGTGGGAAAAATGGCTCTTAAATCACCCTACTTCCTTTTAGGATGATGGTTCGAAGATAATCATGAATTTTAGTGTTTTGACATCATACGTTTCAGCCAACATTTGTAAGGAGGGTTGAACAGTTTGATTCAACAAAGTCCATTTTAATAAGAATTTTGTGGGGTGGAACTGATACTAGGTGGCCTAATTTGAGCATGCGTTGAGGGTCAGATCAATGGGGGGTTCTAGTGGTAAGGCAATAGAATTTTTTAGGGCATTCTCATGTAGCATAGGCATCTTTTTGTCAAGTAAAAAAAAAACTGCATGGCGAGTTTTAAAGAAATGAGCTTTCCTTCTCCGCAGTTCATCGTGCAATCTTTTCATCGATGCTATCGAAAAATAGCCAAAAAAAAAGAAAACCTCATGGAAATTTGTCAACTGAAGTGTTAATATGGCTGTTAGCGCTAATGGCTTAATCCATTTGGAAATGGTTAAGAATGTGAAGGCGTCAATTAGGAATTAAATACATAGCGGCAATTTTCAAGCTTTCTCTTACGGGTCCTTACTCCTACGTAATAAACAGATTAAAAAAGAAATAAAGAATAAGAGAAAGAGAAAATAATAACTAAAAAAAATAAAACAGGAAGGAAAAACAGAAAAGAAAAAATAGAAAAGACAGAAAATAAAAAGAAAACAGTAGATAACAGAATCGATGTGGAACCCTACCATAGCTACAAGTTAGACTGGCATTTTGTTGCTATAGATCCTTTGCAAAACTTGCGGTTGATCACAATACTTTTTCTCTAAATAAAGGAAATAAATTTAAAGCAAATTTACAATACACCCTCCTAGTACGAGTCGTGATCACTGGTTTCTTGGAAATGCTTATTTTTTCCCAGTGTGATTTCCAGTCTTTAGAAAAAAGAACAATGCGAATGTTTCAAAATTTCCCACAGCCAGTTAAATATTCGAAGAGATAAAATAATTTCTTATTTATTTTCCCTTTAGAACCCGGTGGCCCACCAGAAGCTGTCACAATCAGTGCTACATCTTCCAAAAATCTCTCCGTTTCATGGGATCCTGTCATCGCCGAAAATCGAAATGGAATCATTAAAGGATATAAAGTAAATTATCAAGCCTTACCGAGTAGTGACATTGTATCCAAGTTCCGCAATATCACTAGTGAAGAACAGAATGACCAACAAACAGTGATTTTAGATAATCTGAATGAATTCACAAACTACAGCATCAGAGTGTTAGCATTTACTGTAATTGGAAATGGAAGAGAAAGTGATGCCCAGGTTGTGGAGACACTGGAAGACAGTAAGTGTTCCAGCATATTTGCTGCTATTGTTGCTCTTGTTACTTTTAGTGTGTTGGTTGCTGCCTTCAGTCACAGCATATCGGCAGCATTGTCGATTTTCTTGTGAAAAATCTATTTCTTTTTAAAACAATGTTCGTATGTCGCATGAAGACATACGGTGCAAGATCTTTTTCTGTAGCTGCCCCCACACTCTGGAACACTGTGCCGTCCGATATCATGAACAGCTCCTCAGTGCCCGTTTTTAAAAACAAACTCAAAACTTTTCTTTTTAAGAAAGCGTTTTTCTAATTTGACAATTGTCACTCTTGTTAAGCGCTTTTGAACTTTGAGGAAACTAGCGCTATAGAAATACTTTACTATTATTATTATTATTATTATTATTATTATTATTTATGAACCTAGAAATGGTACTTTTGTAATGCTGAAAGTCTTTTACCTTTCCGGTATCATTCTTTTCAGTTTTTATTTTCTTATATTTCTTACGAGGTCGTAAGTAAATGCACCAGATAGCGATAGTCTTATGTCCTCCTGACAGTAGATTACTTCTAGGGGATTTCGTAAGCAGTGGAAGTTTTCTTTGGTCAGTTGCTCTTTCCAGCTGAGCTCTTGGTCACACAACCATCGTACTAAATCCACGGAAATACGATGACTTGCAAGATTGACGAAATAACTCTATGAACGTTGCTAAAATTCAGATTTACTTCTTAAAATCATAAATTTTCCTCTAAAACTCGGTAGCCCACCGCAGGCTACATCCTCTGAAAATATATCCGTTAGTTTTTTCTATTCACGAATGTAGTGGTTGTTGTTTTTGTTTACTTTTATGCCTCTTTTATCGAATTCCTTGTGTACCACAGTGCAGTAGATAATGTTCCTTCCATTTTAGTTTGCTTTAGGCACCTTTTGGTTTGGTTTATTTGTTTTGTGTTGTGTTGTGTTGTGTTTTTTTTTGTGTGTGTTGTGTTGCGGTTTTGTTTTTGTTTGTTTGTTTGTTTTGTATTGTATTGTTTTGTTTTTGTTTTGTCTTAGACGACCTGTCCCTCCTTTTTGGCGAAATCCGCCATGCGAATCGAAAAAAAATCCACGGAAAAGAGAATTGGCGTAAGCGCGCCACGGGAAGCTATATTTGACTTTCGCAATACGGAAGCTCCAGGAGTCCGATTCGCGGGGAAAATTTCGCTGAAAAGGAGGGGCTGTTCGTAGACTCGTTTTGTTTGTTTGTTTGTTTTTTTAATGCGAACGTGTACTTCTGGTAAGTGCTTGTTCACAGGCTCTACGAAACTTGAAGACATAGTCATACAAGCACCATCCTTTTAACTCCTGAGATAACAATAACACGAAACAGTGATGGTGTAGGCTTAAGAATGTTATTGACATGTTTTACCTAAGATGTACTTTTTAACTTTGCGTTTTTGCCTTTAGAACCCGCTGGCAGACCGCAAGCTGTTACAGTTAATGCTGCATCTTCTAAGAATATCTCCGTTTCATGGGATCCTGTTATCGCTGGTGATCGAAATGGAATCATCAAAGGATATGAAGTAAATTATCGAGCCTTGCCAAGTGATGACACGGTCTCTAAGTTCCGCAATATCACCAGTGAAGAACAGAATGAAAAACAAACAGTGATTTTAGATGATCTGAATGAGTTCACAAACTACAGCATCAGAGTGTTAGCATTTACGGTAATAGGAAATGGACCAGAAAGTGATGCTCAGGTTGTGGAGACATTGGAAGACAGTAAGTTTAACTTTTCTCATGCGTTATTAATGGAAGTAATAGATGAAAAGGCAATTATCCCAAAACGAAAGTTTGAATATGTTTAAATGTATAATATTTATTCCGATGCAAAAAAATTAATCTGTCAGTGGCAGCTTTCATCTACAACCAACATCAACCTTCGAAAACCATGCTACAATACCTTTCACATCGAGCTAATTTCTTTCGACTTATTGTTCTACTGACAACAATCATTCACTTGACTCTGATGATGACTTCCGCACAGGTTGTCGAAACGTCAGTCACTACCACCGACAACAGTCCTTCTCAGGACTACACTCACCCGGACGATCAGACTACACCCTTCACTTATTATGAAGAGTATTATAGGCTTATTTAATTGCAGTAGGCACGTATGGATTATCACTCCATACTAGTATTAGCCGTTAGGTGTGTTTTTTGTTAAAGAAGGAATATGAAACATCCTGTTTCGCAGCATTGTGGTAGGAAATGAAAAATAAAACGTTAACAGCGTGATGATTTTAATTTTAGAACCCAGTCTCCTACCACAATCTGCCACAATTGCCTTGCCATCTTCATAAACGTATTTCCTTTTGGTGGAGTGCAGTTCTCCTTTAAGACCGCAATGGAGTAATAACATTGGATACGAATGAAGAGAATCAACCTTACCAAAAGAAGAAAATTAATTCCTCATTTGATTTTTCTATGGATACCCAGTTGATATCTCTAGAGTTAACAACACACTCATTGTCCTCTTGTGTTAGTAAGTGTTGCTAACACTCAAGATAAAATTCGAGTTGCGCAGTCATGAAATATCGTCTATAGGTACCCATCATCGCCTCAATCATAAAATTACAGAAGTGTGTTTAAATAAAGTGGGTATATTGTTTCACCTCAATCAACGTTACCCGTAAATAGACATTGAATCACATGATGTGATTATTTTGCATTTAGAACCCAACCGCTCACCCGAGATTATGGCAGCTACTGCAACGTCTTCTAAGAATATCTCCGTTTCATGGGATCCTGTCCCTTCTGATAATCGAAATGGAATCATCAAAGGATATAAAGTAAATTATCAAGCCTTACCAAGTGGTGACATAGTCTCCAAGTTCCGCAATATCACCAGTGAAGAACAAAGTGAGAAGCAAACAGTGATATTAGATAATCTGAACGAGTTCACAAACTACAGCATCAGGGTGTTAGCATTTACTGTAATTGGAAATGGACCAGAAAGTGGTGCCCAGGTTGTCGAGACACTACAAGACAGTAAGTTTATTTTTTCTCATGCGTTATTAATGGTAAAAAAAAGATTAAAGGATAAATATCCCAAAACGAGAGGAATAGTGTAAACGAGGTAGAAAGCAATCAGTGTTCGATGATATCATTTGTGTAAAAAATGTTTCAAAATGGCTGCTTCATGGAAATGCAGGAAACTGACCCCTGCCTTCGAAAAACTTTCGGAAATACCTTTCAAATATGCATCAACCTTCCATCAAGAGTGTTAGGACTGTTTCTAGAATGTACTAAGAGTGGGCACAGATCCTCACCTTATGCTAGCACCAACTGTTTGGTGTATTTTTAAAAGACTATGGGAATAGCAAGTGTAAGGGATGAAGCTATGACCGAATCCTACTCTTACATGGGACCATAGATTGCAACAGGTCGCGTGAGGGTTACGAGCAAAAGTACGAAAAAATGTGAAGCGAAGAAACTTGAGGAGTCTAAGAGTACAAAGAAAACATTGCATGTTTATATTGCCACACAAGCGAATTGCGCTTTGCACGGGTGCTCGTTGTCTGGCCCGGAGGTGATACAAGCTATGTGGATTAGTAGAGTAGCAAGATGAAACATCCCATGTTAAGCAGCATTGTGCTGGGACATGAAAAATAAAAAGTTAACAATATGATAAATTTATTTTACAATCCAGTCTCCCACCACAGTTAGCACAGTTACTTTGCCATCTTTATTCCTGTTTAGAACAAAGCTACATGTCAACGCGCGCTTTGATTGGCGTATTGTTTATGAAAATGGTATGGATGGTTCATAGAGTTGCCGGCTGACGTCTTGTTACTGAGAAGTTCTTGTGGAGTCTAGCTGCAAGGTTTCAACACTTTCAAGATTGTTTTTCCCTTCAATACTGATTAAGAAAGAAAATATGCTAAGTAATACTCGTTCGAAAACCAGGAACATGTAGCTCTTCAAAGCAACGAAATTAGTTTTGGAGTTGAGGATACTTCATTCCCAAACGCCATGCGAATTACGACTAAAACAATAATTCGCAATAGAAGGTTTTATTTTGAAATCGTACAAGTTTCAAGACAAAAGTACGCAATTTCTGGTCGCAAATTCTAGCAAACAACAATTTAAGGATGGTAAATCTACTACACGGGTTTCGTAAATGCAAGAAATTTCTGACATTTTTGCTTCGTTTTTCGAACGGTTGGTATCATTTTAAATTGTTGATATTTCCTAAAAGTATCTTATTTTTCAATAAACGTGCAGTTTCAGAATGTTTAAAATTTTTGAACAAAAACCTACCCAATTTTCTTTCCGTCAATTGTAGTAAACGATTCAAGGATTCTGAATCTTCTACGAGGTTTCGTATCTGAAACAAGAAATTCGTTCGTTTTCGCCTCTTAGCAGAAAATTTACAATTCTTGAAGTAAAGATTTGGTCTTACATATTCATTTTTGCTTCGTCAGTTATTCATAGTTTTCAGATAGAACACGATTCTCTGGTAAATGCGACACAGTTTTAATTTACTATTTTTCTTCGTGCACAACTTGTGTCTGCGTACTTGGTATAAAACAATTGTTTCATGCTGCAGCTGTGCATATATCGAGTTATAGAAGCAGTTCGGACGTTGAAGAGCACTCAACAAGCTGGAATTTCTCTAAGCTGCGCGTCGAGCAACTCTTGCGCTTCTCTCTTGCTCTCCAACTTCCCGCTTGCAACTAGAACTTCTAAAACTCATTAGTTATGTATGAGGTAATAAACCAATTAGATGGCCTCATTTAGGTCCTATGAATGCCCCTGGATACCCGATAAAGAACAGATCTAAACACGCGTGATTAGATATCCAATACACGTGTTAGGATATCCGTGTGTTTAGAAATCAATTTGCGAAAGAATGCAGTACTTGAACAAATGTTTATTAGCTTCCACAAACAATTCCATACAACGAACGAGGCGGATACCGACCACCCGTCTTACCAGTCACTTCCTGGTCAAACTTTGTGAGCCAGAAGTTTAGAGAAAAGCTTTCCAGGTCTTCCAACCCTTCTCCAAGACTTTTCACGTGGTGAAAATCATAATCCTTAAACAGAACGTTACATACTCCCCGGCTCAAGTAGAGGAATTCTTCTCGCGCACAGCTTGCCAAATTCGAAAACAACCCACTTATCTTTGTAGTGAGTACTTTTAGGCTTTGAACCTTCGGGCAAAGAAACTACCTCTTTGCATTTTTGGGCGTTCGAAACCAGAAATACCTTTCCGTAGCTCCTTCTTCTATTTCTCAAAATTGCAAATGAGGACGCTGATGCAAAGTTTGACTGCCGCTAGTTAAAAAGCCTAAGGTGTGAAAAAACACAACACCTTTCCTAACACTGAATAACAACTATGTACTTGTGCTAATGAAACAAACCAAAAAAAACTGACTATTTACGTGGTCTCTCTGATTTTTTGTTTATTGTTCATAAATTAGGCCATCTTTTGATACTATTTTAAACTCGAGTTTCATCGCGTTTGGGAAACCCTGCCTACCCCCCGCACCCCCCACTCCATTTATGAAATATTGATATACGCACGCTAAGCATGATCAATTATTTTATTTCCCCTCAATATCGGACCTTGCCAAAAAAAGAAAATCTGCAACGTTTCTCAATTGCTATTTCTCTGATCATCCAATTGATATCTGTAGAATTAGCAGCACCCTACATGTACGCTTGCGCATACGAATTTCTCTTGTGTGTAAGTGTTATCAACACTCACGATAAAATTCGAGTTCTCCCACGCTGCCATGGAATGTCTTATGCATGTAGGTTGTCAACATCGTTTTGATGGTGTTTTAAAAAGTAGTGTATTTAAACTTAGTGGGGTACATTGTTTTAACTCAACTAATGTTACCTTTAAATAGACTTTGGATCCCATTACACCATTGTTTTGTATTTAGAACCCAACCGCTCACCTGAGGCTGTGACAGCCACTGCAGTTTCTTCTAAGAATATCTCTGTTTCATGGGATCCTGTCGTTGCTGAGGATCGAAATGGAATCATCCAAGGATATAAAGTAAATTATCAAGCCTTACCAAGTGGTGACATGGTCTCCAAGTTCCGCAATATCACAAGTGAACAACAGAATGAAAAACAAACATTCATTTTAGATAATCTGAATGAATTTACAAACTACAGCATCAGAGTGTTAGCATTTACTGTAATTGGAAATGGACTAGAAAGTGGTGCCCAGGTTGTGGAGACATTGGAAGACAGTAAGTTTAACTTTGCTCTTGCGTAGTTAATGGTGGGTAGTAAGATATGGAAAGACAAATATCCCAAGACGAGAAGAATGGTATAAATGGGGTAGAAGCATGTAGCGGTCCATGAGATCATTAAACACCGCTAGATCGTTTAGCAATGTATTTGAAGTGAGTAGGGGTATATTATTTCAACTTAATCAAAATTACACGTAAATAGACTTTGGATCTCATGACCTCATTATTTTGCTTTAGAACCCAAAGGCTTCCCTGAGGCTGTGGCAGCTACTGCAGTTTCTCCTAAGAATATCTCCGTTTCATGGGATCCTGTCATTGCTGATGATCGAAATGGAATTATCAAAGGATATAAAGTAAATTATCGAGCCTTACCAAGTGGTAAAATGGTCGCCAATTTCCGCAATATCACCAGCGAAGAACAGACTGAAAAACAAACAGTTATTTTAGAAAATCTGAATGAGTTCACAAACTACAGCATCAGCGTGTTAGCATTTACTGACGTTGGAAATGGACCTGAAAGTGGTGCCCAGATTGTCGAGACACTACAAGACAGTAAGTTTAACTTTACTTATGTGTTGTTAATTTTAGTAATGGATGAAGAGAGAAAGATCCCAAAACGAGAGGAAATATATCTTGTTAGACGTTTTGTTCTGTAGTATCGCTGAGTATTACTACACAACAAAACGTCTAATAAGAGATTTATTATACAACACACCAAATCGTTCTTTCAGTGCGGGCGAATTTCGCGGATATTTCTGGAGTACAAATATTGTGTAATATTTGTAAGCGTCTCCCGCGTTATTTGTACTCTATGAAGCACAGTTGGATAATAATGGTGTAAACTAGTGAGAAAGCATTTAGTGCTCCGAGAGATCAATATTTAGCTTTCGTGGGAATGTTTAAAAATATTGACGTAAACGAATTGATTTGTGAGAGGCATATTTCAGCGACAATTGGAAAACAACACCAACCCCTCGAAAAACATGCTGCTGAAATACCTTCCACATTGAGCAAATATTCTTCATCCTATTAACGAGAGAATCATAGCTCAGGTGATACTACGAAGTACTTGCAGTGGGCACGTATGGATTCTCGCCCAATGCCAATACTAACCGTTAGGTGTAGTTTTGAAAGACTTTGCGACTGAAAACTGTAGGCGATGAAACTATGATCGAATCCCCACTCAAGTGGCATCATAAAGATAACGAAAGATCACACGAGGGTAACGAGCTAAACATGAAAAGAAAAAAATAATAACAACGAGAACAAATGAGAAGAATCAAATTGCCAAAAGGAGAAAGTTCGTAACGTCCCTTAGCTAATTTTTCTCTGAATATCCAATTGATATCTGTAGTATTAACTACACACCACATATCCGATTTTTGATACGAAGTGAAATTGCTGTGAAAATTGTTAGGAACACTCAGGTCAAAATTTAAGTTGTGGGTGCGCGGTCATGAAATGTCGTCTTTAGATACTTAGTATCTTTTCATTTATTTAACGAGAGTAGTGTATTTCAAGTAAAAGTGGGTGTATTGCGTCACCTCAATTGATGCTACCCTTGGTTAGACTTTGGATCCCACGACATCATTATTTTGCTTTTAGAACCCAACGGCTCACCTGGGGCTTTGACAGCTACTGCAGTTTCTTCTCAGAATATCTCTGTTTCATGGGATCCTGTCATTGCTGATGATCGAAATGGAATCATCAAAGGATATAAAGTAAATTATCAAGCCTTACCAAGTGGTGACATGGTCTCCAAGTTCCGCAATATCACTAGTGAAGAACAGAATGACAATCAAACAGTGGTTTTAGATGATCTGAATGAGTTCACAAAGTACAGGATCAGAGTGTTAGCATTTACTGTAATTGGAAATGGACCAGAAAGTGGTGCCCAGGTTGTGGAGACATTGGAAGACAGTAAGTTTAACTTTGCTCTTGCGTAGTTAATGGTGGGTGGTAAGATATGGAAAGACAGATGTCCCAAGACGAGAAGAATGGTATAAATGGGGTAGAAGGTTGTGGAGACATTGGAAGACAGTAAGTTTAACTTTTCCCATGCGTTATTAATGGTAGGTAGTAAGAGATGGAAAGACAATATCACTAGTGAAGAACAGAATGACAAACAGACAGTGATTTTAGAAAATCAGAATGAGTTCACAAACTACAGCATCTGAGTGTTAGCATTTACTGTAATTAGAAATGGACTAGAAAGTGGTGCCCGGGTTGTGGAGACACTGGAAGAGAGTAAGTTTAACTTTTTCTTTGGGTTATCATTTGTGGTAACTAATGAAAAGACAAATATCCCAAAACGAGAGGGAAGGTGTAAACCATTTAGAAAGCATGTAGTGCTACTCGAGATCATTTGCTTTCGTAGGGATGTGTAACAGTGTTCAGAAATGTGATAGCTACTCTGACGCAAATATATTGATCTGTTAGTAGCTGCTTGACAACTGGAATACCGTTTACATTGACGAACTATACGTCAACCTTTTAATAAGAGAATTATGACTGATACTACAATGTAAATGCAGCGGGTACGTATGGATCCTCTCACGGTTGAGAGATTTACGAAGGCGTTTACGTGAAACGGCAAACGTCAGCTTGTCCTTTCACGTTTCACGTAAAAATAGGGTGAACCTTGCTGTTTTAGCTTTGTGTAAGCTCGCGTCATGGTGGATTGGAAGGCGCCCTTATAGGTCTTAAAAATAATATTTTTGGTTCCCAGTTTCCGGCAATTAACTTCTATTCTATAAGAGAACAAGTGAAGAACATCTTACATACACAGAAAACGCGAAACAGATTGCTTTCACGTAGAAACCGGCGGTAAAGCCCTACCGGCCAACGTGAGAGATGGCGGAAAAAACAAGGTTACGAGGTCCTTGTTGCCGTTCATGTTTCATGTAAACGCGGTGCTAAATCTCTCTAATGCTTGCTTACTAACCGTTAGGTGTATATTTGAAAGACTATGCGATAGAAAGTGCAGACAATGAAGCTATGACCGAATCCTGCGCTCACGAGTGTTCCTAGAGACTACTACAGATCGCGTTCGGGTAACGAGCAAAAAATACGTTAAAAAAATTTGAAAGTGTTAGGAAAACATGTTCATGAAAACATGAAAGCATGTTCATATTGTCATACAAGTAATTATTGCCTTACATGCGTGCTCGTTGTCTGACTTGGAGGTCATCAACTAAGTGCACCACTGAAGTAGCAAGGTGAAACATTCCATGTTCAGTAGTATCGTTGTGCGGTATTAACAAGAAAAAATTAACAGCTGTATCATAAAATCCATTCTCCCACCGCGGTCTGACAAAGTTACTTTGCCATCTTCATAAATGCATATCATTTTCTTGGAGGCCGATCTCTTTTTAATGTTACAATGAAAAATTTACAATAGACACAAAGGACGGAACAGAATGAAACCTTGTTCAAAGAAGAAAATTCGCGACGTTAAAAAATGCTTATTCTCAAAATATCCAACTGATATTTGTAGAATAAAGAACAACACTTTATATGTGTACCTGTGGATACGAAGTTATGTTGCCGTGTAAGTATTTTCAACACTCAAGATAACATTCGAGTTTCTCGTGCGGTCATAAAATGTCAGGTACAGGTACCCAGGATCTTTTCAATGATTCTATGGTAGTAAGGTATGTAAAGTGAGTGGGAGTATGTTGTTTTCCCTTAATGAATGATTCCCTTGACATCATTATTTGTCTTTTAGAACCCACCAGCTCACCTGAGGCTGTGACAGCTATTGCAGCATCTTCTCAGAGTATCTCTGTTTCATGGGATCCTGTCATTACTGATGATCGAAATGGAATTATCAAAGGATATAGAGTAAATTATCAAGCCTTACCAGGTGGTGACATGATCTACAAGTTCCACAACATCACCAGCGATAAACAGGATGACAAACAAACGGTGATTTTAGAAAATCTGAATGAGTTCACAAATTACAGTATCAGTGTGTTAGCATTTACTGTAATTGGAAATGGACTAGGAAGTGGTGCCCAGGTTGTTCAGACACGGGAAGACAGTAAGCTATGACTAAGATTTAGTCATTTATTCATTTATTTTTGTTGTTGATGTTCTACATGCATTAGAGGCAAATTTATTGTTTTACTCGATTTGAAGAGGATTAAGCTTTTAGCCATCACGCAATGTTTCATCAGTTTTCATCACGAAATTTACTTTCGTACCATTATTGTGGTTGCATATAACTTTTTTCTTTGGAGGGAAAAATTACTTTTTAAAGAACAAGTGTTTGATTCTTTTTTTGAAGGCTAACTATGTATAAATATGATATATGCATTCGATGTTTTTTAAAGTAATCAAGAGATTATTTTAATTTAAGATTCCACCCGCAATCTGTATACTAAACAAAACACTTCATATCCTGTAGTAGATGCTAATTATCTTACCGTCTTGGTGCTATCAGCTCTTAAGGAGGCTCGAAAGGGTTTTCTACAATTAACAGCAAGTGCCAATCAGTAAAAGATATCAGGACTGTCAAACTTATTATCGGGATAATGACTTGACATATCCTTAACACTATGTTAGGGCAATCTTTTGAGGGGGCTCGTCAGGCATCATCTGTTGCCATGGCAACAGTACAGTAGTGCTGAAAGACCTAAAACTCAGTTTTTGAAAGATATCTCAAAAACCAAGTCGGTGACCCAGTGTTTTTTTTCAAATTCATTTAACATCATCACATTCTCTATCTGTATACGTGGTATAAAAAAAAACTAACTAGTAGAACTTGAATTATATAGGAAATTGCTGTTTTAAAATGTAAAAAAATTTCCACTAGATAATTTTTTTTTTAAAATTTTCTTCAGGAATGCGTAATGATGAAAATAATTTGTACACAAAAAATCAGGGTAGGTCACCGAACTAA